GTGTATCAGTCTGTACACAATCCGTGTATGTTACTGTGTGTATAAGTCTGTACACAATCCGTGTATGTTACTGTGTGTATAAGTCTGTACACAATCCGTGTATGTTACTGTGTGTATAAGTCTGTACACAATCCGTGTATGTTACTGTGTGTATAAGTCTGTACACAATCCGTGTATGTTACTGTGTGTATAAGTCTGTACACAATCCGTGTATGTTACTGTGTGTATAAGTGTGTATAAGTCTGTACACAATCCGTGTATGTTACTGTGTGTATAAGTCTGTACACAATCCGTGTATGTTACTGTGTGTATAAGTCTGTACACAATCCGTGTATGTTACTGTGTATAATACTGTACACAATCCGTGTATGTTACTGTGTGTATAAGTCTGTACACAATCCGTGTATGTTACTGTGTGTATAAGTCTGTACACAATCCGTGTATGTTACTGTGTGTATAAGTCTGTACACAATCCGTGTATGTTACTGTGTGAGTAGTCTGTACACAATCCGTATATGTTACTGTGTATAAGTCTGTACACAATCCGTGTATGTTACTGTGTGAGTAGTCTGTACACAATCCGTGTATGTTACTGTGTGTATAAGTCTGTACACAATCCGTGTATGTTACTCTGTGTATCAGTCTGTACACAATCCGTGTATGTTACTGTGTGTATAAGTCTGTACACAATCCGTGTATGTTACTGTGTGAGTAGTCTGTACACAATCCGTGTATGTTACTGTGTGTATAAGTCTGTACACAATCCGTGTATGTTACTGTGTGTATAAGTCTGTACACAATCCGTGTATGTTACTGTGTGTATAAGTCTGTACACAATCCGTGTATGTTACTGTGTGTATAAGTCTGTACACAATCCGTGTATGTTACTGTGTGTATAAGTCTGTACACAATCCGTGTATGTTACTGTGTGTATAAGTCTGTACACAATCCGTGTATGTTACTCTGTGTGTATAAGTCTGTACACAATCCGTGTATGTTACTGTGTGTATAATTCTGTACACAATCCGTGTATGTTACTGTGTGTATAAGTCTGTACACAATCCGTGTATGTTACTGTGTGTATAAGTCTGTACACAATCCGTGTATGTTACTGTGTGTATAAGTCTGTACACAATCCGTGTATGTTACTGTGTGTATAAGTCTGTACACAATCCGTGTATGTTACTGTGTGTATAAGTCTGTACACAATCCGTGTATGTTACTGTGTGTATAAGTCTGTACACAATCCGTGTATGTTACTGTGTGTATAAGTCTGTACACAATCCGTGTATGTTACTGTGTATAAGACTGTACACAATCCGTGTATGTTACTGTGTGTATCAGTCTGTACACAATCCGTGTATGTTACTGTGTGTATCAGTCTGTACACAATCCGTGTATGTTACTGTGTGTATTAGTCTGTACACAATCCGTGTATGTTACTGTGTGTATAAGTCTGTACACAATCCGTGTATGTTACTGTGTGTATAAGTCTGTACACAATCCGTGTATGTTACTGTGTGTATAAGTCTGTACACAATCCGTGTATGTTACTGTGTGTATAAGTCTGTACACAATCCGTGTATGTTACTGTGTGTATAAGTCTGTACACAATCCGTGTATGTTACTGTGTGTATAAGTCTGTACACAATCCGTGTATGTTACTGTGTGTATAAGTCTGTACACAATCCGTGTATGTTACTGTGTGTATAAGTCTGTACACAATCCGTGTATGTTACTGTGTGTATAAGTCTGTACACAATCCGTGTATGTTACTGTGTGTATAAGTCTGTACACAATCCGTGTATGTTACTGTGTGTATAATTCTGTACACAATCCGTGTATGTTACTGTGTGTATAAGTCTGTACACAATCCGTGTATGTTACTGTGTGTATAAGTCTGTACACAATCCGTGTATGTTACTGTGTGTATCAGTCTGTACACAATCCGTGTATGTTACTGTGTGTATAAGTCTGTACACAATCCGTGTATGTTACTGTGTGTATAAGTCTGTACACAATCCGTGTATGTTACTGTGTGTATAAGTCTGTACACAATCCGTGTATGTTACTGTGTGTATAAGTCTGTACACAATCCGTGTATGTTACTGTGTGTATAAGTCTGTACACAATCCGTGTATGTTACTGTGTGTATAAGTCTGTACACAATCCGTGTATGTTACTGTGTGTATAAGTCTGTACACAATCCGTGTATGTTACTGTGTGTATAACACAATCCGTGTATGTTACTGTGTGTACACAATCCGTGTATGTTACTGTGTGTATAAGTAATGTTACTGTGTGTGTATAAGTCTGTACACAATCCGTGTATGTTACTGTGTGTATAAGTCTGTACACAATCCGTGTATGTTACTGTGTGTATATGTTAGTGTGTATGTACAAGTCTGTACACAATCCGTGTATGTTACTGTGTGTATAAGTCTGTACACAATCCGTGTATGTTACTGTGTGTATAAGTCTGTACACAATCCGTGTATGTTACTGTGTGTATAAGTCTGTACACAATCCGTGTATGTTACTGTGTGAGTAGTCTGTACACAATCCGTGTATGTTACTGTGTGTATAAGTCTGTACACAATCCGTGTATGTTACTGTGTGTATAAGTTTGTACACAATTCGTGTATGTTACTCTGTGTGTATAAGACTGTACACAATCCGTGTATGTTACTCTGTGTATCAGTCTGTACACAATCCGTGTATGTTACTGTGTATAAGACTGTACACAATCCGTGTATGTTACTGTGTGTATAAGTCTGTACACAATCCGTGTATGTTACTGTGTGTATAAGTCTGTACACAATCCGTGTATGTTACTGTGTGTATAAGTCTGTACACAATCCGTGTATGTTACTGTGTGTATAAGTCTGTACACAATCCGTGTATGTTACTCTGTGTATAAGTCTGTACACAATCCGTGTATGTTACTGTGTGTATCAGTCTGTACACAATCCGTGTATGTTACTGTGTGTATAAGTCTGTACACAATCCGTGTATGTTACTGTGTGTATAAGTCTGTACACAATCCGTGTATGTTACTGTGTGTAAGTCTGTATGTTACTGTGTGTATACAACACAATCCGTGTATGTTACTGTGTGTATAAGTCTGTACACAATCCGTGTATGTTACTGTGTGTATCAGTCTGTACACAATCCGTGTATGTTACTGTGTGTATAAGTCTGTACACAATCCGTGTATGTTACTGTGTGTATAAGTCTGTACACAATCCGTGTATGTTACTGTGTGTATAATTCTGTACACAATCCGTGTATGTTACAACACAATCCGTGTATGTTACTGTGTGTATAAGTCTGTACACAATCCGTGTATGTTACTGTGTGTATAAGTCTGTACACAATCCGTGTATGTTACTGTGTGTATAAGTCTGTACACAATCCGTGTATGTTACTGTGTGTATCAGTCTGTACACAATCCGTGTATGTTACTGTGTGAGTAGTCTGTACACAATCCGTGTATGTTACTGTGTGTATAGTCTGTACACAATCCGTGTATGTTACTGTGTGTATACAACAATCCGTGTATGTTACTGTGTGTATACACAATCCGTGTATGTTACTGTGTGTACACAATCCGTGTATGTTACTGTGTGTATTAGTCTGTACACAATCCGTGTATGTTACTGTGTGTATAAGTCTGTACACAATCCGTGTATGTTACTGTGTGTATAATGTCATAATAAGCACTGAACACAATCCGTGTGTGTTTTACAATCAAATGTGTGTAGCTGTATGTGTATGTTACTGTGTGTATAAGTTATATACAATCCGTGTATGTTACTGTGTGTATAATTAAACACTTTAAGATAGTTCTAAGAATAACACTGTTGGATATATTCACAGTTTTATCAATCCATATGCAATTGATATGTGGCTCTGTCTCCATAATTGATGAAGTTGATCTCGTCGTTCTGTAGGAGAGTCTTCAATTGGATCAAGCGGTCATCCAGGTTCCGATCGTCTCTTTGGCACAGGTAAACCTCCAGCTGCACGTTGAATCCGGTTGATGTCATTGGCAGCTTGGATGTCTTTCAGTACACGGATGAACAGATAGATGTTTGGGTGCGCATGTGGAATCCTCTTCTTGAGTTTGCTGTGCCATCCTTCAAGATTGTTGGGTATTCATCTCAAACTCAGTTTGGTGTTAACTGTTCACATTCAAATCTATCATAGTTGTTCTCTTAATTACTCATTTAAAAACCTTAATTGTCTTAATTGGTTTTTATGAGATCCATGATATGTATTTTCTTAATTAATCATTAAAATAGATTAATTATGAGTTTGAGTTCAGTATAAGTTTCTATAAAATACCACATACTAATTTACCTGTATGAATTTTAGGACAACTTCCCTTACCTGTTAAAACAACACTGCAGTACCTTACTGTTACAACAACACACGGGATTTCGGGACAAACAGGATTTATAATTTTTCAGTTTTGGGACAAACAGGATTAAACCGGCCTGACCAGTGATTAAAGTTTACCTGGTGGGCAGTGAACCGCGAACATGTGTGTCGTTCACGACCATTGTTTTCGTCACGGGTTACCGACCCTGTCACCAGGTGGCGTTAAACGAAGTAAACATCATTATCGGATTAACTTGGCCTACCCGTCCGAAACCGCGTGCTAGACACGTTTTAATAGCGATCTGTTGTTTGTTAATTATATATTGATAGATCGGTAGGTATATAAACACCTTAGAAGCCCTGCATACCCAAAAGTGAATTATGTAGTCGTTTCGGCCGATATTCCTTGGCTTGCACGCGCACACGTTGTCGAGGGAGGGTTTTTAACTGTTTTTGTAGCAATGTTACACTCTCGATATCGTTTGAACAATAAAAAAACGTGTATGTGTTCCAATTTTTTTACGACACATTTTCTCTGTCACAAAACTCCGATGAACTTTATCAAGCAATGACGAAACCACGGAAACGAAACGTGCTATCGCGATCGGTAAAAAGGACGTATGAAAGAGGAGGCTGTCCAGATCCGTAGCTCTTCGCAATATTGTGCTCCGGACTTTTTTTTAAGTAAAAAGAAAAATGTGTTGTACTGAGTGATACACTGATAAAGATAATGTGTTTGCGAATTTAAGTGAAAAATGAAGCGTTGAAAGACTTTATAGTGACTTCATTAAAGTTGTTACAAATACTGAGTAAATGTGTTCGTAAATTTATGTGAAATAGTTGCAAAATTAACGTTAAATTCCAATTGAACTTAAAATGGATTGTTTGTTTCCTTTTATTCAATGTTTACAATAGTAAATATACATGTATATTATGATATAAATTAAGGAATATATACATAATTATTCTTCTGTCAATTCAGCAATTTTGTCTTTTTTTTTTTTTTTTACGAAGGGCAAGGTCACTGTTGACCAGGTAAGTTGGATGTTTTTTGTCTCTGCAGTAATTTGTGAGTTTTCTCCATATCTAATGGAGTGTGTGCACTAAAAATTGGTCTGCACATCAGTTATATGCCAGAGTATGTAGCTGTGTTACTTCAGATGTGGAACTTTTCCGCAAAAGCATAAAAATCTACAATAGAATAAGGGTTTACGCAAACTGCAACGAAAGCAGGTCTGACAGTTTTCAGCTCAGGTAAACCTTATCCTTGCGCTGTATTTGTTTACCACATCTCACACAACGCGTACATTCCTCAGCGCACACCTCACATAAAAGTAAGTGCCCACATGGTTGGAACAGGGTTCGTCTGCTCCTAGTCTTGCAGTCGATGCACTGTTGTTCCATTTTCAGCTTTTCGTTGACTTTAAGCAATGCTGGAGCATCTACAGTTAAGATAATATTTTCATCATAGTATAACAAACCTTAATGATTGGTGAGTCGATAATTCTTATTGTGATATATGAACAAAAACAGCATACAGTCTTCTCCTCCCTCTAGTAATCTCCAACGAAAATATTATTTATCATTGGAATATTTCTAGATCAGAATAGTTCTAAATGGTGAAGATATTGTTCTTTTCGTTTGAGCCTGAATAATTTATTTATTTGAAATGAGTTAAGGATGTGCTCCTCTGAGTAATAAGAAAATTCAAGTATCAAACTTTGTTTCTGGTGATGCATTTTTGAAAGGTTATATTTTAGGAAGTAGATTGAAAGAAAAAAAAATAGCATGTTGCTGCACTTCTTTTCCAGTACAGGCGTCAGAATATGTTTAACAGGAAATCATTCATTTTCACATATTGGTCTTATTTTTGTACCGAATAACAGGCATTCCTTGTTATTTTCACGGCAACTTTTTAAACATATATATTTCTTTCATTACAAGACCAAGGTATGATATTTGAATATTGAGAGAAAATAATGTGAAAAAGTTTTCATTTGCTTTAACGAGCTTTAAATTCAGTGCAAAAATGATCCAAAATGACATAAATCCTTTATTCCACTTAAATATACTTTAAATACTGTATATTTTGATAAAAAAAAATTTCGATGACACCTTTCATGATTAAAACGAGGGGGTCACTGTGCTCCATGTGTTTTTCACCAAAAAAGACAGTTTTTCAAGATGAAGACACAAGCTAGAATTTTTCAGGTCCTAAAATCCTGATATGTGATCCATCAAGTCGATATTCAAGCATTTAAAATCTGTGATTTGTGGTGATGATTCATGCAAAATTAAGTTGACATCTATCCGGAGTTCTACTCAAGTGAAGAATCATAGCAACCAGAATCACGCCGTCAAAAACAGTAGTGAACAAGAGAAATTTCTTCATAACGTCATAAAAATGGTCCTTTTTAGGTTACAATTACAACTCTAAATATAGCGGATAAGACAATCAAAGTCCAAGATATTTTGTTTGAATTAATTTCATATTTAATTATGCCTTACTTCCGTTCAAAACATGCGAGGAGTACACTCTTTAAGTGTTAACCAGTGAAACTGATTGAAACGTTATATATATATATATGCTGGTGTAGGTATATGTCACCACCCTGCTAATACTTTAAACCAGCATCATGGTGTTGTCTAATTTCAGAACATGTTAGCTCTCAGCTACTTACCATAACGAAATTCATCGTCAACGACATCTGAAATACAAAATGCATTTTGTTTACAAACAACGTGCTATTAATGTACGCCTTGCTCTGATACTGAGTATTGTTTGTAACTGTTGGTAGTATAAGGAAGGTTAGTATTCTGTATAACCTTTTATGATGAGAGCAAAGATCGGTCAAACGTTAGGATAATATGGAACCGATACAAGATCAGTGCCGTATTGAATTTATTCAAATTTCACATCGTTACAGCGCAAGAATAGGACAGTCCTTGTACCAAAATTTGTCTCTAAGTTTTTTTTTTTTTTTTTTTGCATTTCGGATGGTAATAATGTTTTGTTCCTGTTTGTAACTTTGTAGCAATAATTATCTTGATATATTGACCTGTTTCATCTGTGTCAACACTTGCTGATAATCCGCTTTCATCCTCTTTCTCCAGTATGACAGTCATCAAATCAGTTGCTTCAAAGTTCATTTCACCTTGAAAATCGTACAAAAGACAAGTGAATAACATCTTTAGAGCTTGATACAGTAGAAACTAGTAATTTAGCAAATTAACCATGCTGCTGTATCGGCCCACTAATACTCATCATGAATACCTAGGGTATACTTGTTATACCTAGAAGGCAACCGAGAAAAAAAACAAAACGAAATAATTCTTCAAAATCTAGGTGGGGAGGGAAGGTGCATATGCCCCATCAATTGATTTTCTGATTTCATGTATCTGATCGTTTGCATTTAAAAGTGACATGCAAGTTACGGAGTGTCTACCAGTAATGTCTACAACCTCCAAAAACTGTATTGTTGTTTTGGAGACTCTTTAGAATATCACCGAGCATCACTAATAAAAATAAAGCTTTGCTATGGGTGATTGTAAATACCAGTTTTTGATATGAATTCGTTGATACATTTGCTGACCACTGCTGTGGTGTAACCCATGGCGAGGATCGCCTGAGCGGCTGCGGTTTGCATTGGGTTTCTCTCTCCCATCGCACGGTATCTCTCCTCGTTACTAAAAGGTGCTGAAGATATAAAATGTTGAAATGAAAGTGACGTAAACAGTTCTTTTGCAAGTACCTATGCGCATGAACGTTTGTTAACTAATGTACAACGAATCAACAATATTGCCGTGAAGACTACTTTGGGTTAAGCGATCTTAATAGGGGGCAGTTTGAATAGCGAGTATAACTATGAATTCACTCATAGTCATTTTTGTCCATATTCTCATTCAATGGAGTTATTTTATTTTGTTTGTTCATTAGATTTTAAACTTTCAAAACTACAAAACAGATTTATTTAATTTTTGAAGTATTACTTCTATAAATGCCTACCCATAAACCTGTTCAAAGCTTCATTCTGTATCGGTGCGTTATCTGGTAACGGATCTTCACGAATTTCCTGCATTCAAATTAGTAGAAATATATACAAAATTAGCGAAGGATATGTTTAGTGTAAATATACATCTATATCTACCATGGCAACTACATATGTAAAATAAATTAAGGTAAAAAGATTATTAGTATATATATATATATATATATATCTTACATTCTATTATTATTTGTTTATTAATATTCAGCTATCTATTAATGTAAAAAAAAAAGTATATTTCGTATCAGGAACTGATTTTGTAGGATTTACATTGCAATAGTTTCTAAAACCTTGTTATAATGTCATATATAAATATCTTTATCACATGTAGAAGGAAAAAGGCCTTGTGATACATTTCTTACTTACGTTTCTACTAGCGACACACTGCTGGATGAACGCCAAGCCTTTGATCTTCAGGACAAATTTGCAATGAGGAAACCACTTCGCGTGTTCTACCCAGGGAATATCTCCAGGCTCCCATTCCCGGAGACCACCATCACAATAATGACAGCGAACTGTATCAGTCACACCTTGGAAGAGAGAACTAAATTCTAATTATCTAACATAGTAAGTATTATGTTATGTTAGTTTTCTTTCATTAAAATTAATTGCAATGCCTAAATATTTTTGTAAACGACTAAACCAAATCAAGATTACACAAATTCCATCCGTGAAGTGAAACATAGGTGAACGTTAATACCGCTATTGCAAAAGAAAGCACATCAATAGTCTACATATCTCATTTTCGTATTTATTTTAAATATCAAATTTAGCGGGCTTCCCCACTTCCGACACATTAGGAGGGTTAAGTCAAAACGTTGCTGTAGGAACGACAACTACAATATAACACATGTGGGGGTCTTCCTTCGAACTTAATATGAAACGAAACTTTATACAAAGGTATATTTATGTCATTTATATATATAAAAAATTCGAGTACAACGTCGGTAGAAAATTCAAATCTGAGACCTTCGGATCAACAGCATTACTGTATATGATGCATTGTGTTTATTTACTGATATGCGGACATTGTAACATTTCAATGGACAGCCAAAATGTTCTTCCATCGTCATCTGTGTTACAAGCTACTTAATGCTGGATAATATTTTCATTATAACAATCCTCACCAGTAAAGAAAAACCCTGCAATGGCTAACTGACGTGGTGTCTGTACCACGAAATCACTGGGCCAGTTGTTGTAGGTTTCAAATCTTTCGTTCACATCTGAGAGTTCTGGACGTTTTGGAGAATACACCTGAAATTGACAGATAAACAACTGAAACTTACGACACTTTTCCCAATGGACCAACACACCACCCACAAAGAACTAAGAAAATTGATAACAGCTGCCTGATAATTTTAAGTTGAAAATAGCATGCCAATATTAACCATCATATTATCTATGCGTCTCTATCAAAACAACAAAATCTTTTAAAAAGAAATTTTCTACTAACAAAATTACCTTGGACCATTCTCTCTGTTCTTGGTCGACATAGGCTTGACCTTTGACCCGCAACAGAAAGTGACATTCGTGGCTATGTCGCGCATGTTCCTGCCAAGGATCGTCATCTCTGTTCCACTCAGCAAGCCCAATGTCACAATAAAAACATCTGACGATATCCTGGTCCCCTGTTTTTAAACAATACTTACATATTTTTACCTTGAGATAACATCTCGGTGTGAAATAGTGTATATCATATTTTAAATCACAAGTATAATAAAGCTTTGCGTAAAATACATCTTTCAGTTAAATTCAAAATTATCACTTGTTCTTAAATGTCATTTATGCGCGGAAAATGTCCGAAAATCATGATTGAGTATAGACCGTATACCAATAAATGATCTACGTTTTTTCCTAATGCTTTTAACATTACATATCCTTACAAAAGTACAAGAAAACATGTCCGTATTCAATCAAGTTATACAAAATTCCAAACAGACGATACAAAGGTGATGAATATCAAAATACTCCATTTACTACAATAGGCACATTAAGTAAGGCGAATATTAGGACATTCATTTAAACACAAGCATACCAGTATAGAAAAGACCGGCCTCGATCAGGCTATCAATATCATGTCGACCATTCCAGGAGTTAAATGTTTCTCTTCTGGTAGCTTCATGTTCATACAAAGGATTTCGTGGAGGTGGGGTTGACGAGTCTTGTGTCAATGAACTTGTTGTTGCTGCCGTCGCTCCTTCAATTCCATTATATTCCTGTGTGTACCCGGCGCTCTCCTGCCGACGGGAAATATAACAGTAGTCATTTGTGGTGTGTGAAACGTGATGGTCACAGATAGCCAAAAGTCCACTTCCTGAATCTGTCTCTACGTCCGATTTATTCCCTCTTTCTTCAGATGGCTGAGATATTTGTGAATGCTCAGGCTGAGTAACACTAAGACGGGATTGTAGCTTTTCCTCATGTTGACTCCTGGATGCATGTTTTCGTTCCGATTCCGGCTGCTTTCGACGTGTATCTTCTATTGTCCCAACGCAACCTTTCTCTTCATATTGCTGACTAAGCGGATTGAGGGGTTCATTTTCATCAATATTAACTCCACTAAAGTTTGGCCCACTCATCGTAAACGGCTCGAATCTTTGTGTTGGACCATTTTTGAATGTCCGTTGCCTAATGTGTTCGGATTGCAAGAATTGGCAATGTTTTGATCTTTCCCTATGTATTTCAAGAGGATGACGGCCGTTAAGAGCAGAGACATTCAGAGACAGACCACATGAAAAGCATTCAACTGTTTGCAAAGTTGGATCTTTACAGTAAAATCCAGCCTCAACGAAGTTTTGTACGTGATTTGCGCCTGAAATATCCCAATAAATAAAAGAACTCAAACGCTGTTGTTCCAACTTCATCGCGTCATTTTTATTGACGTACACCTCTTCATATCTGTCCATTTCAAGTGGTGTGCGCCCAGATATTTTTCTCACTTCGTCTTCAAGAAAGTCATTCTTAAAATGCGAAGATGAACGCTTAAGATACGATCTCATGCAGTCAGATAAACTTTCTAACTGCCTTGACGTAAATGGCATTGTTGGCTTCATCAACACGTAAACCTCTTTTGATCGTCTTCCTCTTCCACGAAATATAATAGCGCTTTTATCCATAATCATTGTTAGGTCTTCAAACGGGTTTCCGAAACGTAATTCAAAATGTAACGTTTTAGACTTTAAGTCAGCTACTGCTCCTGTATCGTTGATACTTGTGTTATGACTGTGGTTCGATCCATGGTCACCATTATAATTACGATTCATTTGTGCTTGTTGGCCTAGTCTGGCCATGGTATTTTTCAACTCATAAGAAAAAATGAAGGCCAACATAAGGTTTTTCATTGGGTTTGAAAGAGTAAATATTGGAGCGCGCTCTCTGTCTATTGTATGTAGGGACACAACCTCTGCATGTTTCTCAACTTTCGATAAGGTGAAAGGACTGTCAGATTCATAAAAAGATACAGAAAAATCGATTTGCGATTCATGCTCGGAAATATTATAGTTTGAAGAAAGCTTTTCTTTATCCGGTATCTTCATTTTGAGCTTCGTTTCAATATTTCATCGGTACGCCAATCCTTGTGTCTTCATGCATCTTTTTCCTTTCCAATTCAAGTGCTAGGAAAGATCTAAGAAATGTCGGTAAAATATATAATTCATGATTTTGAAATTCAATATTCCAAACATAGGTATAATGACATCTTTGTTTAAATAAGTACCCAGTAAACACAAACGTTTATATAACATAGATTGACTTAAATCAAATCAAATTACAAGAGAGGGAAAAGGTCTTCGTTGATGCTCTGTCCTGCACCTAAATAATTATGAAAATATTATACAATATTTCTTACAGACACGGGGTAGGGGAGACAACTCCAGTTAAATTTATGTTTTCCATTTATTCCTACAAAGAGACGTTCAGAGATTGCGATTTTTTGAAATATATATATATATTATATATATTATATGACGTCATAAGATATTTTAAAGAAAAGAAGATTTTGAAGTCTTAATCAAGGACAGAAACATTTCCACTATTGCGATAAGGAGAAAATTCCTATAAGGAGTGTAATTTTACTACAAACTTTCTGTTTAAACAATGGAATAACGTATAATACTGGGTTAAGGTCAACATGCCGCATGTAATTAGGAAACACTAAATTATGTTGTTTTATAATGTTCTTTTAATTTAAATATTTACTCTCCTTGACGATAACATGGTTATGTCTGCCACATAACAAGTTCTGTTTTTGCTATCGTTTTTAGCATTTTTTATACAGCTGTCTCAAAATATTTACGGCATAAATTTAGAAAGTTCCGGAATTATCTGACAGTGAATCACGTAGATTCGCGGTCAACGTAGAGTAGTTGTAACAGAAGTACCAGCCGCGTCTGTCGAAACACTCATAACAACAAGGCAAAACGAGTGAACTTTTGTTTGTCACTAAACCGTTCGAGATATCTCGCTTGCATTTGTCTTAATCGATGGAAAAGTTTTCTTTGATTTGGTATATGATACACTTTGTATTATGCCCTAAAACAGACAGACGATGCTGTTACGCAGGGCACTGGTCGCAGATGATTAAAGATTGATTTAGGGTGTTAATTCTTATCAACATTCTTAGTACAAGTGTGAACATGTCTATAAAGACAGGACCATTTAATGTTTCTTTTTTAACGATTTCCGCACAGTGAAATGTCAAACTGGCCACTTCATGATAACGATAATTCATCCGTTCAATTGATACTGAAGCCGTATACGTCAGCAGTCAAACGAAAGTGAAAAAAACAAAGTGTCAAAGCATAACCGATAAATACCAAGGAAGCAATATATGAGGAAGGTAAATCCAACTTATACGTGTTTATCGACAGCACAAAAGCGTAGAAATCAAGCAAATACGTATAAAATTTATAAGTCGTCCCTAAAATATCACAAATGTCATTACCAAATAATGGGATGGGCCCTGGTCAAACAGGTACAGTACTCGTGCCTAATAATTATGAAATGAACTCGAGGCTGGCAGTGTTATAAAACGATACATAAAGATTTATATGTTACTCGACAATTAACGCAATGTTTGATAGGTTCAATTACCTGTATACTAACTACATTTCAACTAGCCCTGTTTTATTTTCACTATATTATAATATGGTATTGGGGTGCGGAGGAAGGCCTACAGACAACACCACCATATCCTCACATCTCTCCTTCTGTTGTATATATTCTTTTGCTTACACAATGATCTCTTAGTGTTTACACATCATACTCGTCTATCCACTAACATATTATATTTACCTCAAATCTCCATGGTGTCAGTCGTTCAGGCCATGTCGACAAATTCCGCCTTTGTTAGTGGGATTTAGGTTTATTTTTAGTAACACGGGAATCCCCTCTACCGTATGAACAGTGTAACATGTCATGTGTAGGTGGATATATATATATAATTACGTGGTATTGTAACTCAGAGCCCAACTATTAATCTATATGATGAAATTTAACATCACCGTGAACTCGGCTTTACCCTTACTGTGTTAAAATGATCTCATTTTAATGGCCGTTAGTTAGTGTAATAGAGCATTTTCTACTTCTCTCGATCTTTTTACTGTCTACTTTTTATTGAAAATTGATTCTTTTTCTCTTTCCATTCTAATCTGTTTCTGTCCTTTCTTCTATCCTTGTTTCAATCGATACCCTGTATAGGCTCCGGTCAGTGAAATAAGAATATCAGTACATCTTAACAGACATAACTACGTCTCTGATCTTAACAATATACGTGTGACATATTTATATGCATATGTAGGTAGATCGACACTAAAACTGGTATTATTAGGCTTGAGTAAATTGCCGTTGTGAAATTACAATTAAAGTTATGAAAAGGAAGGTTTATCTATTTCATTTTCATATTATTAAATAAATCAACCCGTATAGTTAATGTTTAAAACATAAAGACTAACATATGCTCTTCCTTCATATATTTAAATTTCTACTGGTTTGCATGTATTTACCAAAATATTAACGATGTTTATTATTGCTAATATACATGTATGATTTGTTTTTAAATACAATTTATATAATAACAAGAACAAGTTTATAAGAAATTAAACTGTCCCTTACCTTTTCTTACGTTATGTCACAACATTTTCTGTGTCGTAAGAACTCTAAATAGGTTGATTGCATCACATTTGAAAAAAAGATTTTGAGTCATAGAAAAAGTACTGACGACAAACGTCTGGACGACGGACGGAGGGCCATTTGAATAACCCAGAGGGCGTTTTGAAAGAAGCACACAGTATATGAGTATATTTGATGACTTGTTGAATCGAATTTGATTAACTTACCAGTTTATTTGAAGCTGGTTGTTATTGGAAAAACATTGGAAGGTCGACATGTAAATGTAGCTGGTCACGGTCATTCTGTATTACATACTTCAACTACTTTCTACAAATTTACCTGGCGTTCATGCTCTCCATTTATTAACTTTGCAGTTTAATAATATAAGAATTCTACCAAAATATAAAATACTAAATGGAAATTCAGAAACAAAAGGCATATAGTAATCAATAGGAGATAGAAAACTTTTTTAAGCTCAATTCTTCGCTCCAAACTTATCAACCATTAAGTACGTACTTAATTGAGTAGTCCTCAAAATTGAAACGCATTCTTAAATATTTTAGATCGTCCCAACTACGAAAGTGTTTTCAGATCATTAGTGGTCCCTATGGGAGCTCTTTCGTTTAAAATTCGAAAAGGAAAACTCTTGGGGAATTTTAAAAACATAGTTTCGCGGTTATTTTCAAGTTTCATCAAAAGAATTGTCGTTCAGACATGACACAAAAGATTATTTCCTGTCATTGATCATATAGTTTTGTTTAATTACAATTACGGTAAAAATATAATATTCGATCCCGTAGATCTGTTTTTGAAAGCAATTAATTGCGGTTCAATCTTGGTATCTACTTCATAGTGTCATGAATTAAAAATGAAAATGAAATGAAACTAATAACATGTAAGGTTGAAACCCAGTAAAAACCATTCATAATTTTCCGTACAAGTCTTCTGAACGCTGACATCATAGTGTCCATTATATGTCATCTGCCCTTTTTCACTTAAGTTATGTGACAAATATATGGGACAACATTAACATCGGCATCGAACTCCACACCGTTCAACCTCGGAATGACATAATGTGGGACCCGTGTTAAATTACTTGACAGAGTGAAATAAGATTAGATTATGTAAGTAACAGCAGATGTCGGAGCGCTACTTGTGTGGAAACTGGTGCATATTATTATTTTATCATGGTTGTTGAAATTATCTCGAATAATCTTAAATTCAGAGGGAACGATTCATTCATTTAACACACGATACAGCCGCTTCTACAACCATCTAGGTTAAACGTTGTATGTTAGGCAATATAGACTTGGAACTCCTTTGTTTTAATTATACACACGCGTCTATGACAACGGTCGTAACAACACGTATATTCATTATTTTCACTTATAATCTTACGGGTCTTAAAAATAAGCTATCCTGAATAATATGGTATGAATTCAGTTTTCGTTAACCAATGGCAGTATAATTACTCCTGTGAACTTAACTGACTGGGTCAACAAAAACGGGTCTCTGGGGTCGAAGATGGGAATCAAATTGATCTTACGTTTAACAATAGACAATAAAAGACAAAAAAACGACTGGAAACGCATTCATTTTTTAGTTTTTGACCAATCTAAATCATCCTCTTTTCAAAAGCACATTCTCAGTAAGACCATATGATTTTACACTCTACCACATCATATTCTAAATCAAAATAAAACTTTCATTTTTCAAAAAAGGGCGAAAAGCTTTGGAAAAACATGGATGTAATGTAGAACGGTAATGGTGTTGGGTTGACAATATCTTATTCAACAGATCATTGGCATGGACACAAACTATGTCCCTCTCTTCGCTGACTTGCCTTTGTTGTCATGTGAAGTGAATTAAAGAGCTTAGCTTAGGTTATCTTTACAATACGCAAAGATAATGTTTCCCGTGGAAACAGCGCACACGTGACTTTTGGACGTGTTTAAGCTCTCAGGTGTATGGCTTGTTACGCCAGCATAGGAATTTGGACATTCGTACCCGACATTCTTGGAATCTCCATGCATACAATAAGGGATCGTTATTGCTACTTGTCAAGAAAAAGAATTAAGTAATGTCTTGCATATTTTTCCTTTGCAAAAGAGCAGCACGGGTCTAGAGTAGAGTAAGATCAACACTACATGGCATGTAGCACTAAATTAATACTTACATCAGCAGATAGACTAACATAATTGATCGAAATGGTTTTATCCTGTTAGCATTGTTCGATAGATTTAAACTTTCGTTTCCCTAGAGTGATTTTGGACGTGTTTTATACCCTGTATATGCTCCAGTGATGGCGATGCAGGCTGCCAAATATATAATTATGTCTACAAAAATTCGTCAGTTTCTTTTCCAATGATGCAGTCCGGAACGAAAATGACCCCTTGTGTGTAATTGGCAATTACCATTCGCAAAGACGTCATCCATGTACACAGCTTTGTAAAAACGCTACGACATTGAGAAGCATGCTGTAGATACCAGTTAGATATATACAGACGTATCTTTCTACAGAGAGCATGGATACTGTTTAAAAACGAGTCAGTATTCGTTGAAAAGAACAATCCACGATTGTCGGGGAGAATCCGCACGCATCATTAACGGATATTAGTGCTGGGTAAGATCCGATGATCAGTCAAAGCCATATTGTACGCCATCATTCGAATCCTCTTGTGATAGTATAACCACCGAAAGAAATGTTAATGTATCAGAAGGATGTGAGACTAGTGTTGACAAAATACATGCTTTTTAAAAATGTCTTCGATGTCTTTATATAATCAATCTCGTTCATTTTTTTCAGTTTTTTATGTCGACATAAAACAGGCACAGCAACTAATTATACTAAAGCCAAATAAAAATAGGATTTCCTATTTCGTTGAATATCCTGTGTATCGTGTTTTGTAGTCATTACAATGTGTTTCCACCAACGTCAGTCTGTGTATGATTTCATGAAAATCGATACTTCCCTGACCATACTTCCCTGACCACAATTTGATAATTACTAACATCCTTTTCATGAGATGAAGTTTAATCACGTTTCCAGTATATCATTTTATTCCCATGTTGAGGCTTCGTCGTTTGTACCCATTGTAACTATTGTGTTCCGGTGTAACACGTATTGATAAATATTCTAAAGATGTTTATTTACTATGAATGATACTATCAATTACAGTTACAATGTTTTACTCTGATTTGTTACTTATATATGTATATATTGATGATACCTTGCTGCAATGATGGCGACACGTTGTTTACTACGTCAGATGGCAGTATGCAGTAGCTGACATGTCGCTTCTCGTTTATTTACAATTTGGTATAACTTATTTTGTACAGACAGTCATTATGAAACTATGACGTTGTTGCAGTATAAACAGTAGAATACACTGTATATTATTCATAAAACTTAAATTTTCACTGTCCTCAATGCGTCGATATTTCCGACCAATATTGACTGTTATGGTAACAATTGGGCGAGGGGGATATTATTTTCCAGAATTTCATTCAAAAGTGAAAGGATAATAACACTGGTATGAAAAATACATTGCGCATTGCGGTGAACCTTATTTATGTGTAAATATTTGTTGCATTTCTTGCTCGGATTAGCAAACATCTACATGGTGGATGTCGTCGATGAAAAAGACACTTACCCTTCCGGAACATCTGGTCTTATTTTCCTTGTAACTTTACGCTCTTTCTTTCGTCCACATTTTGCTTTTGAATTAAAATTTTGTTGACATGTCGGTATTGCCTTTGTTGTTTTTTTTTTTTTTTGCATTAACTCTATGGCTGTATTTAGGCTTACTTTTAGGCGTACTTCTATCGTCAATAGAAACAATGAATGTTTAAATAGCACCATCTTCAGATTATCATATAATAATGTGGTCCAACGCCACTTAAAATACGTCGATTGTATGAAAATCGTCATACAATTGTCTAAAACGTATTAATAATGACAATAATTTTCCTTTTTTTAATTTTCGAGTCGTTGCCTACCACTGATCTTTTGTGAAAGCAATCTATACTTATTCCTATATGGGGGAGGGACACCTATATATGGGAGAGGGGCACCTTTGTATTTTGAAGGAGCACCTTTATATGGGGGAAGGACACCTTTCTTCGAAGAAGGGACACCATTTTACGGGAGAGGGGCACCCTTATACGGAGGACGGGCCCCTATATGGGAAAGGGGCAACTATATATGGTAGGGGGCACCTTTATACGGGGGACGGTCTCCCCTATTTGGTGGAGGGGCACCTATATATGGTAGAGGGCGCCTTTATACGGGGGACGGTCTCCCCTATTTGGGGAGGGGTACCTATATATGGGAGAGGGTCACCTTTATACGGAGGAGGGACACCTTTATATGGGGAGGAGCATCTTTATATTGGAGAGGGGCACTTTTATACGAGAGAGGGACACCCTTATATAGGGGAGAGCACCTATATATGGAGAAAAACACCTTTATATGGGGAGTAACACCTTAATACGGGGAGGGGAACCTTTACATGGGGAAGGGGCACCTTTATACGGAAGAGGGGCGCCATTATATGGGGAGGAGCACGTTTATACTTAGAGGGACACCTTTAGGTTGAGAGGAGCACCTTTATACGGGACGGGGCAACTTTATGCGGAGAGGAGCATCTTTATGTCGGGATGGGGCACCTTTATACGGAGGAGGGGCACCTTGATATTTGAGAGGGTCACCTTAATACGGAGGAGGGGCACCTTTATACGGGGAGGGGCACCTTTATACGGGAGAGAGGCACCTTTATACGGGGAGGGGCACCTTTATACGGAAGAGGGGCGCCATTATATGGGGAGGAGCACCTTTATACTGAGAGGGACACCTTTCTGTGAAGAGAAGCACCTTTATACTGCGAGGGACACCTTTATGTTGAGAGGAGCACCTTTATACGGGAGGGGCAACTTTATGCGGAGAGGAGCATCTTTATGTCGGGATGGGGCACCTTTATACGGAGGAGGGGCACCTTTATATAAGAATGAGCACCTTTATACGGAGGGGCACCTTTATATGGGGAGGAGGGGCACCTTGATATGAGAAGGAGCACCTTTATACGGAGGGGCACCTTTATACTAGGAGGGAAATGTTTATGTGAAGAGGAGCACCTTTATATGGGGAGGGGCACATTTATATGGGGACGAGGGGCACCTTTATATAGGGAAGGGGCACCATTATGTTGAGAGGAGCACCTTTATACGGGAAGGGGCACCTTTATACGGGGAGGGGCACATTTATACGGGGAGGAGCACTTTTATACGGGGAGGGGCACATTTATATGTGGAGGAGGGGCACCTTGATATGGGGAGGGGCATCTTTATACGGGGAGGGGCACCTTAATACGGAGGAGGGGCACCTTTATATGGGGAGGAGGGACATCTTGATATGGGGAGGGGCAACTTTATGTGGAGAGGAGCACCTTTATATGGGGAGGGGGCATCTTTATACGGGGAAGGGCACCAAATACGGAGTAGGGGCACCTTTATATGGGGAGGAGGGGCACCTTGATATGGGGAGGGGCAACTTTATGTGGAGAGGAGCACCTTTATATGGGGAGGAGGGGCACCTTTATACGGGGAGAAGCACTTTTACACGGGGAGGGGCACATTTATATGGGGAGGAGGGGCACCTTGATATGGGGAGGGGCAACTTTATGTGGAGAGGAGCACCTTTATTTGGGAAGGAGCATCTTTATACGGGGAGGGGCACCTTAATACGGAGGAGGGGCACCTTTATATGGGGAGGAGGGGCACCTTGATATGGGGAGGAGCACCTTTATACTGCGTGGGACACCTTTATATGGGGAGGAGCACCTTCATACGGAGGAGGGGCACCTTTATACTGGGAGGGACATTTTTATGTGGAGAGAAGCACTATTATACGGGGAGGGGCACATTTATATGGAGATGAGGGGCACCTTTATACGGGGAGGGGCACCTTTATATAGTGAAGGGGCACCATTATGTTGAGAGGAGCACCTTTATACGGGAAAGTGCACCTTTATACGAGGAGGGGCACATTTATACGGGGAGGGGCACATTTATATGGGGAGGAGGGGCACCTTGATATGGGAGGGGTACCTATATACGGGTAGGGGCACCTTTATACGGGGATGAACACCTTTATACGGGAGAGTGGCACCTTTATACTGGAGACGGGCACCTTTATACTGGGAGGGGCACCTTTATACGGGAGAGGACAACTTTTCACAGGAAGGAGCACCTTTATATCGGGGAGGGGCACCTTGATACGGAGGAGGGGCACCTTTATACGGAGGAGGAGCACCTGTATACGGGGATGAGCACCTTTATACGGGAAGGGGCACCTTTATACGGGAGAGGGGCACCTTTTTATCGGAGAGGGGCACCTTAATATCTGGAAGGGGCACATTTATACGGGGATGAGCACCTTTATATGAAGATGAGCACATTTATATGGGAATGAGCACTTTTATGCGATGAAGGGACACTACTATACGGGAGAGGGACTCCTTTATACGGAGAGGGGCACCTTTATAAGGGGAAGGGGCACATTATATCCATTATTAGGTGCTAAAACTGCATCTCATGTTTTTAAGGTTTTATAGCAGTTCTGACAATTGTCAGTTTTTGATATTCAACTTATACTTTTGTAAGGATTATATCTCATGTGTCAGATGAAAACGATATACCAAATGAATTATCATATGTAGAGAAAAATTTAAAGGTTAACTATTAAAATAGATAAACATGAGAAAAATCTTCAGAATGAAAACAATTTTATTCAAGATTAGATAATGAAAAACTAGTTAACAGTTAAATGCTAGCAACATTAATAAGATATCACAGGTATGTTTCATTGGTGTGAGCGGTACGAGGAAGGTAAAAAAAACGAATGACGAAAGCTTACATTGAAATTGCACAATATTTCTATTACTTTAGTTGGGTTGGTAACATTGGTGTTTACCCATTCTATTTTCATCAGTGTTCCACTGAAAATACCTCATAGAGTTTTTTTTATCGTTTTTTAATATTTTTAGAGCACCATGATAGTTCATACAGTTCGTTTAGAGAAACTGTACTTCTTGTTAAGTTTTAACAAGTCCTTCACGTCAACATGGCAGCCGAAACATAGTATCATATTTCATATTAATTATCATTATGACAGCACCGAATTATATTGTACCTAAATAACAAAGTGTACATGTCCAAACTATATTGTACCTGATCAGTTTGCGAACGTCATTTCGCAATCGTGTATGCACTAAAGATACGAAAATCATGATGTTAAAACAATCGTTTTCAAGGAATTAAATTTCTTGGAATTGGTTTAATTATCAAGTCATTCTTTGTTCCCCCAAATTATGTCCTGGGGATACGTCTGCAAGCAAACATATACATAGAAGAATCTAAGCCAACGGCACTTAAACAAATGTGTCAGTCAAGCTACCGTCGTTTCTTAAAGAAACTCTCGTCAATAAATCACAAGGTACATAGTTGCAACGAGTTATTTAGAAGCTGGCAATTGAAAGCAAAGTTTTGCATTATTGATTATGAAACTAACCTTTTTGTAATCTATAATCTCTTCTGAATATACTTTTGTTATTTTGTCATTCGGGCGATTTTATATGGAACACGTGAGTTATGTTTAATTACTTTAACTTTTTGTTTCAAAACTTTTGGTCGACTTAAAAGACTTTCGTCAGAGGAATATTGATAACAGCGAATACCGTAGCCCACGTGAACTGTATACAAACGTACTGTTCTCGAATATTACAATGGGAATAGGTATATCACGACCAAGGAGTAGCAAACATGATTCTCGGGATGAAGGCACTTTCCTTCAATTGTAGCATAGGTTGTAAATGTATCAAATTTCTTTTTAGTCAAGTACACATTTGCTTTAAGTCCCTTCCAAAACAGAATTTCTATTCTATCAAATGCTTAATCGTAATCTCAATTGGAAGGATGAGGAAACCCGGAGTAAAACAGGTGTTTGCTTGTGTTAAAATTCATCAACAAATGCTGACTACTGTTATTGGAATGAGGCAATAGAGAAGTTATATCTGGAATGGCAATGCGTGTAACCATGCGCGATAAAAGCCTAAGAAATGCAGCGTTATCACTTGCTTCTGAGGTGTTAGAGATTGGATTTGCATATGCACATTCCGTTAGTGTTAAAGAAAATCTTTCGAAATTACTTGATGGCGGACAAAGGGACACATGCTCAGTCAGACACTTATTCTTTGCCACTGTTTTACCCCATGTGATGACAACAGTTTTGAACATAATACTGTATTTGTATTGTCAACTTCCTATTGTAATGCTTTTCGTGAGCGAAAAGAACAGCAGCTGGATAATTATCAAGCGTTCATCTGCCCGAGTGAAACTTGGGAAACGACCATCCCTTTCTTCTTCTTGTGTGTCTTCTTCCTTGGTGTCCGATGTGTTCCGCCACTGAGAGGTCCGGACATTAAAACAGCAGAGCTTCCATGTGTCGTCCTTAGAGGAATGTCGCTATCTCTCGACCTTGACACGAGAGACGGAAGCCTGCTCAAGCTCCTTTGGGATGATACCATTGAATGGAGGCTGCTGTAACTCTGGGTGAGAGCAGCAGACGAGGATCGAAGCTCTACCAGCGATCCAATTTGGTCTTCCTCTGGCTCTGAAAGTACCTCAGACGGAAGCCGGAGTTCAAGCAATTTCTTGTGGTACGCCTCTCTCTTTTGCTTCTTATTTCTAATCTTTATTTTATCATTCCGTTCCTTCACAACGTGATTCTTCACGGAATCCACCAGTTTTCTTAAATAGATAGATATGAAATGCACAAGGATGCAAGCTAAGTGCATTTTTACCCATTATTTACATCTCATTGTTACTATATATCTACTACGAACAGTGGATGGCAATATAAATATAATATAAAATCTCAAAGATAAGGTTTAGACTAAATTCTCTTTCTGTACAAAGTTATTCGAAAAGAAAACAAATAAATAAAATGACTGTGAAAAAATCAACCCTTTATCTTTTAACCTTACGGTCAAGAAATGATTTGTACCAACAAGTAATGATACACACAGGGATTAAAGTATATGACCTGATAATTACGTACCTGTAGTTAACAGTATTTCCATTTTTGCCCGCTATTCGTCTAGCCAAATCCTCCATCTCAAATTTGTGGAGAGGAATACCTTTGGACTGACAAAAAATGAGAGCTCTAGATAATTCATTCTAGAATATACCATTGAATCATTTACAAATGAAACAGTACTGCAATGACGATGACAGATTATACACAAATGAGTAGAAGAATTAAATACTAGGAGAAGAAACAGTAGCGCCAAAAAATGAATGAAATAATTCATTCATAATTAACAATTAAAGTATTTGTTTTAGATTCAAGGTTTTTTTGTTTGTTTTTTTTTTTTTTTTTTTTTTTGGAAAATGGCAAAAAATAAAAACGACTGTAACAAATACTTTCGATAAAAGTAGACAAAACAGAGAAAGAAAAGTAGGCAAAGATATATATAGTACTGTCATTTAATTAATTTTTGCTATATTACTATATGACCAGTGACTAGTGGTCGGCGACCAGTCAAATGTTGAGGCAATAATTATTGACTGGTGATCAGTAATACTTGTAGTTTAAACGTTTATATACTGTTCTAACAATCCATTTTAACTGTATTGAGAGAATAAACATGCATATTATGCATGTAAAAGGTAACTCCAAAACCCAAACAATAGCTATTACCACAGAGAAATATTCTATTTTAATTATGAATTCAGTTTACTCATTTTATGACATATCGATTATTCGAACGTTCGTTGAGATATCGAGATGTGTTTGAATGCCTGAATAGATTAAGCTGCTTACCATACCCCTGCTAGTGGTGACAATGTAGCTACATCATACCATGTGCTGGTTTGAACATATATTGAGTTCGTTGAACAAAAGCACCATTACTCATAGAAACCCTTTACGAATATACTAGATAAATTTGAAAAAGTCCTTGTCTTCATGTTTCAAATTTTTCGATTTGATTTTATACTTTCATAGTGTTTTATTCACCTTGTGTTGGCTTTCATTGCTTTTCCTGCAATGATGGGTTTTTAATATCAATCAGTCTGATACGAGTTTATTCGAGTCGCATAAATGTAAGCTTTCTTTCTGAAGGCAGGTATGAATTATCATTTTATGGATGCATTTTCGTTTTGATGTTGCATTCAAATATTTCCATATACATAGCTAGAAAATAGATATCAAAATTTGTGATTTATCTGAAATAAATTGAAACACCAGTGCCAACTGTTTTTATTGTAACATCCTATGTTGATGGCACTATCACCACTCTGAGTCAAAGTCACATAGATACTTGTAAATAAAATGGTGCACAAGACATACAAACGATTAGTATATCCTATGGCTGTGTACATCATTATTTTAACAGATTTTTGAGGAAATACGTATTCATATCGAACCTAAACAAAATTGACTAAAACTGGAATAATAATCTTTTGGCGTTTAAATGATACCTTTATCGGTTCTCGATTTTCCCAAAATTGTCACCATTTTTTTATATAAAGGGCCAAATAACATATCAAGAACTTGTTGCACTCAAACTAAAAGCAAATGTATCTGTTCTTTGAAAATTGTCTTTGCTGAAAAAATGTCAAAATTCATACTTTTTACAAATTTTGAAACTACATGTATATGAATTTTTAATTCGCAATATTTCTATACATATTTACCACCAAAAATACTTTTTCAGGTGAAAAACTGAACTCTGTCATACTCCTGTGGTTTCGACACCAAATGGGTCGTAGGACAGGCCCTAAGGACCTTTTGTAATCCTATTTCATGGGTAGCTACACAATGTTGCGTGTGTAAAATTCCATTGTTTCTGATGGAGAACCTTTAGAATTAAATACATTGTCCTTTCAGTCTCGTTAGTGATGCGAACCTTAATTGCTGATACCTAGTAGGTGACTGATGGAAGCGAAATTGATCATTTAAGAAGAAAACAGACACATTTTAGCCACGACTTAGTAAAACACGAGATGAATTCAACAGCATAAAACACACATTATAGCAAACAATAAAGTTTCTTTAGCAATAAAATACACGTGTAAATATAGATTTGAAATATTTCCTTTCCCCCTGTATTTATCTATGCATAGAAATATCATTTCAATATTTGCAATGAAAGTGTTTACCTTAAGTCTGGCAATGAAGTCCTTCTGACTGATTTGGTAGTTTGCTGTCTTATCGAACTCCCGAATCATTTCAACTGGACGTAGGCCTAGTGTTTTCATGTAGTCAAGTATCCTTTGCATAGCATCAATGGGTTTTTCTGAAAAGCAAAATGTTACCATACATGTCTGTATTAAACACTAGATACATGTATAATGAATGGAAACTGTAATCGTCATGCATATCTGTAACCTAATAACAATTTTTTAAGATAAGAGTACGGAGCTGCTGATAGACTGAAAATGTACTTTTTAAGCCACTGGTTTTGCATATTTTGTTGAAATGGTGATTTAATTCTAGACCATGCTGATTTGAATATATTTGTGGTGATTGGTGATCGACCATTGAGACTCGCAATGATGTGAAGAAAGTCTCGCCTGTAGATAGCAGTGTTCGCACAAAGAAATTGCACCTGTCAATTTAGGATTAGAGCTAAATAATGAAATAAAATTTATCGACGGCTGTTTCGTCCTTCTATGACATCGACAGTGATGTTCAGAGCATAAATTTGAGACCTAAGGGTCGACAGAAGAAAATAGAAATTGATTAGCAGAAATAAGTAAATCTAGCGCAATATTAGTACAATGTTGAAATTGTTGAGCATCCACAATAATTACTATATAATCAACATACAGAAACCATAATCAGCGCATTCATATTTCAGCGCAATGAGTTTAGAAAGAAGAGTGCTAAACGAAGAATAGAGCTACCTTACGCCTACCATACACACTCTTAATAGATTCTTAATGTGCCAATACGACGAAAACATGTCATGCTAAAGAAAGCAGAACAGAATATGACGCAGCCTTCTTTTACAGGTAGACAGATATTTCTTTCGTCAATTTTAGGAAAACAAATGTTTCATCGTTTTATCACAGGTACACGTTTCGCCTGTCTGTGATAAATTTATAGACGTTTCACTTGTCTTTCAAAATCTAACAGACATGCCAACTGTCTATCACAGGAAGACATACATTAAACACGTCTATCATATAGGCTACTAGACGTTTCATTCGTTTAACATTGGAAGACTAGTGTTTTACCCGTATAACATTGGTCGACAGATGGTTCGTCCTTCTACTATAGGTAAACAAACATTTCATCCATCCACCAAACGAAACCAAACGTTTCACCAGTCTATCAAAGGAAAACTAAAGTTTCATCCGTCTAGCACTCGTCGACAAACATTTCATTTGTCTGTAACATGTAGACAAACGTTTCACCTGTCCACCTTAGGTTAGCAGACGTTTCACTCGTGTATTATCTGTAGACAAACAATTCACTCTTCTGTATAATGTAGCCAAACGATTCACTGGTCTATCATATATCAGTAATCAGTATTGTCTTTATTTATTTTTTAAGAAAAACCAATGTTATGTAAAACCCTAAAATCTTCAAAAAATAATTAAGTAAATTATAAAGTAAAAAATGACGTGTGTTTCTTAGCGTCCCACTCTGGTGAACCAGTGTTTCCATCCTTCAACACCTTCTGTTTGTTTTATAGCTGTATGCATCACGGAAACTGAGACGTAAAATAATTAAAACTTAATTACAACCTATATATAAACTTACAGCAGCAGTTGATTAAGTGTGTAAGTTTTTTAAGTCAATAGCCACAAAGGCAGTATCGGATCGAAGAAGCAAGCAATGAAGATGTGTATAGACAGAGCATTGTTTACACCACCTAATAGTCCATCATCGGGTAAAATCATTAAAGATGCATGGTCGATCAGAATTGCATTACACCTTGTGTTGATGTAATCAACATTTTCATTCCAAGGTTTCGATTAAATATAATCAACTTCCTTTCATCTTAAGAAAAAGTCCTAAAGTCCCGAGTTACTACGTTTTTTACCAATTTAGCTTGTCATTGTTTCAATGCTTGATTATTGACAGTCATTTAAAAAAGTGCATACATTAATGAACACAACATATGGAGCATTTCAAACACAACAGCACCGTGTGCACACCGAAGAATCGAAATTATTGATGGCAAATATCCAAAAACACAAGGTTCTGAGAGATCGATGTTGTTGAAGAATATTAAAAACATATCTTTTCTTCGCAATAAGAAATAAATCATTCCCTTTTGCGGTATGAAGGTGGGTGTGTTTGATACAGGTTGCCAGGCCTGGTGTTTGGTTTTATTGAGCTATGTTCTCATTTGATAACGTTACTTACATGCATTGACCAATATTTACATGTGTGGCGTCGTCAATGAAGCTGAGGACGTTTACATTTTTGAAATACATGGCCGTAATCTCCTTGAATTTTTTCAGAGATTTCCGTGTTAATCTCATATTGTGATCATACTTTGCTTTATTTTTCATCGAATTTTAATTTGAATTAAGTTTTTGTTGGTTTGTTGGTATTTTGTGTCTTGTTTTTTGTTCAAATATTGCTTCAGAAATGAGCTAAAATCCAAGTAAGGTAAATACCTAGTTACTGTTGCTTTATGTTTGTTTTCGTAAGAAATTGACTTTTGAATACACTACGTTTTCATGGAACATTGATTTCCACGTTCTAATATAAATAGAGTAGAGGTGAAAACAACATATGAAAACAGTAAAGAGCTTTACTCCTTATCCATGAAATCAGTCTTAAATATTGGTCTGTCGTAATCAAAGAAACACGAACTGGTAATGTACACATAATAATAATAATTAAACTTCGGATATATAGTAAACAAAACAAAAAGCATCTAACGTTTTCACTGTGTTGTAATCATTGTGCATATAATCCAGATAACAATTTCCACTAGTGAAAATTCAGATATGCGTATTTTTTGTATTGTAAAATCATGTTATTTTAGTAAATAAACATCACAATATATACTACTGATTTGCGAAGTATATTTCACAAGCTTCAGTGAGTTTCAAAAAATGATTTGGCGTCATTTGTCATGTTTTGCCAAATTCATCGACTTTGTAACACGTCGGAAAATACTACCACACTCTTTGAACATTCAATCAGTGACTGTAAATGCAAAAGTCATTTGTCAACATTTTAAAGTGGGGATAAGGAAACAAAGCACAGGTGAAAGTGAACACATAAACGATAATATGTGGTTATGAAAACGATACATGTATAATTTTAATAATTTTTTTATCTGTGCGTGCCAATACTATTTTTTTTTTACTATTTATATTATGAATATTGTTACCTTTTTTCTCTCCGAGCGTGTCGTGTGACCGAACTACTCCACCATGAATAAACTTGAATTTCCGATTCTGTTCAATGGTTAGTGCCAACAGTTCAGACTCCGGAAGAACACTCACATTCTGATGATAATACGGTATTAACAACTGCATCAACTGTTAGCGTGGTTTAACTATGATATAACTTAACTCATCTGCATCGCTTTTTTTACGAAACTATCTATGAGAATCGGGCTGCGCTAATAGTCAAAAGCATGTTAAAACACATTTTTGTTTTACTTTAGACAGGAAAGATATCCATGCATAAATGAAATGAAAAGAAACTGAATCATTTTCGTAAACTCGTGAATTTGCATCTAACTTGACATTATCCGATATGTTACACATCAGAGTTGTATATATTGCTTTGTGTTTCAATACATAGATGTTTACAAGATTATACAGCCACGTACTTTGGCTGAGGTCAATGCCTAGATTTATAAACCAAAGACATAATCATATTGACCGAGTACTAACCATCATATCCAGGAAACGTAAGCTAGACCTGGTGTTAGCTATTGCTTGTAATATCGCCATCGCTCCAGTTGTAGTGATCGGGTTGTATCCGACCTGGGAAAAATGGGAAAAAACAACATGTCAAGATGAACATTCAACTGTAAACTGATTACTTTCATTTGGTGGCATGCTTATTTTCATATGACACAGCGGTCATTGGTGAATGTGAAACTCGGTATCAAACAACTATCCCTACGCTCTATTCAGTATCTCTACAAAGAAGTGAGGAATTGTAATGAGCAATAATGTGTAAGATATTTTTAGAGAGCATTTAAGAAACTTCCATTACCAACTTTAAAACCATTATCTTATATTGTTTATGTTATATGTGGATTCAGACACCAATACTTGTCTTAAAGTCGTATGATACTCATTTGGTCCTGGTCAATATAATAGTGAATGATGTATTGATTAGGTTGATATCTGAATGAAATTGTTGGGTCATCGCTTTCCAAGAATTCCGATGTCAGTAAGTGTTTTTTCTCCGATTGGTGTAGGATTTCTTATGTAAGGTAATCAAGCTGAGATCACTAATCGTCATGTGCTGTCGTAATTGTGTCATAGATCAAGATATTTAAACTTGATTGCTCTATTATGCTAGTTAAGAGCCTTCCGCGTGAGTATCAGTGAAATAGTCTTTAGCTACTTTAAGAAGAACCCTTCGTAATCACAGGTCCAGCAAACAAATATGGTGTTTTGACATGGATGTTTGACTTGCTGTAGTGGTAACTTAACGTTCAACTTCTTCGTTTTGTGATCTGAAACTGGGTATGTTTTATGCTCGTTAGTTTGCCTGTTGGTTCCGTTGCTGTATACCTTGTACTCATTTGTGAACTTGGCATTAATCATGGCGGGTGTTGGCAATAAAGAAGAGCACTTTATCTTATGCACTATTTCAGAAGTGTCCGTGTTAATCATTGTTTTGTTCATATTTTGCCCTATAGTTTTAATGAATTGGAGTTTGGGTGATGATAATGTTTACATGATGGTATCATCTTGTTTTCACGGCGGTTGACCTAACCAATATTATGTCGTTACCGTTATCGAGCCCCTTTCATGAGCATAAGCAAATTATTTTTTTTACTGATAAAACGTGTCATGAAAGATTATAAAAACATATAATTGTGTGAATGACACACTATAAACATACCTTTAACACTTCTAGGTCTGAGTTACCCCTCAGTCCTTTAGCGAGGATATCAGCACATTGCCAATTCAGTCGATTATTCGAGATATCAAGTTCACGGAGTGAATCATTTGTCCTCAAGGTGTCTGATACAGCCACGGTACCCTCATATCCAAGTCCATTCCAGGCCAGATGTAGGATGTGTAGAGTTGTATTTTCCTATGAAAAAAGAATAGTTAAAAAGCAATGTGTTGGAAAATAAGCAAATTTTATAGACTAAGCAATTTTCAACACTAAGAACTCATTCATTTCTCTTACCATTAAAAGCGTACACGTTTCCTGGAAGAACAAACTTGAATGTAAGGTTTAAAGAAAACGAGTTTTGACGATCTATAGTCGTCAATCATCATATCATATATTTCCGTTTGCAGTATGAAATTTGACATATTCGAAAACTGACCATTCTGTTGTCTCTGCCTCGTTTCTTGCTTTTAAAACGTGGCATTTAATCTATAGTTACAGAGTGTGTGTTACCGACGAAAAGGACAACGCTTGCTTCTCAGGAACACATGGTCTTATTTTTCTATAATCATCATAAGTATCAACGTATATCTTCCTTTTGTTCGTGTTTGCCATTCTTCAATTGATCTCAACATTACATTTGCCTGAACAGTCGGTAGTTCCTCCACAGATAAACAGAGTGTAAACCTATAGTCCCAGTGGTGGTGCCTTGGGCAGACTGATCTTAGACAATGCTGATGTATTGTTGGCAGTATTGAATGAGAGCAGATCACGGAACATGAAATGAGTCCGTGTAGATAAATATAGTTACCTTGAATGATTTACAAATTCCTACAGCACCATCTCCTCGTATAAAATTCCAACTAGCATTGAGTTCGTTTAGGCGACAGTTTTCGGCTGAAAATAAAAGACCACTTATTAAAGATATCAGTTTTTTGTGTCACTGATTTGATTTGTAATTTGGTTTGATGTGACAGATAGCAATATAACATGTATAATTTTGATAATTTAATTCAATATTAGCTATATTGTAAATCCAGATAGTATTTTGTTTTCAGTTCATGGCATTTCTCTTCATTTTTCAACCTTAGATCATCTTAAATATGTCAATGAGAAATGAATCAGTAAAAAAAATAGGTATGAAATTCTCTTATTTATAGTTTATGAAATGATTTTTTCCGAAATTACTAGTCGTACCAAAATTAATAACTTTACGGAATTGTTGGGGTTTGTGCATCTCTCCGTCTAGATTTTGATTTTTTTCCCGTTACTTTGATTTTCCTCCTTCGCCAGTTATGATACAAATATCAGGCCCTTATCATCAATGACTAGTACTAAAAGGATGAAACAGCTGCTTGATGCAGTTAAATGCATCATTTGGCTCTCCTGTATCCAATTCAAAATTGTGTTTAAAGGTACTCTTCACTTGTGTGTCGATATATATAGAGTAAATGTATTTTGTGTGCATGGCTTTATCCGATTGAATAGAGTGGAATCGATAGACTACCTTCATTAATCAATTCTCTCATGAAATAGTCATTACCGTAACAAAAGCAGTTTATTACTAATCTATGAGATGCCATTTCAGTGAAGCGAGTACTTCTAAGCTTGAATCTAAAGTACAGATTCTACACATTCAGTGTCTGTTTTAGAGATTTTACCAAATTATATTGTTGGCTTCCTCCTGGAAACAATTCCTTGTTTTCCCAATCATACTTGTTATTGTCCCAGTTTCGCAGGAATAAAAATTAGGTTTGGCTACGTTCTCCATACTGGGGATGACGAATACCCTAATCAAAACACTATTTTGTGGTGAAATTCCTTTCACAGTGAAGTGAAAACCTAACTAACACATCTGTTTGTGAAATGTGTTGCAGTTACTGCACCTCCAAGAAAAAAAATAATAGCTTTCATACTAATACATTTATTTTTTATATTAGTACAATTTGTCAAAGTATACGAATGAAAGTGAAATGTCAAGCAATAGTTCTTAAATTTCAATAATTTCGTGTTCATGTGCGTGGTACAATGACTCTCGACCCTTAGTTACTTTAATATAACTGCAACTCGATATCAGCATTTCGGAATCGCAAACATTCTCCTGTATACCTGATAATGAAGCTACAGGACAATTGAAACATATTTCACTTATCAGTGAACCACTGAAGTGTGACATAATTGATATCATAGAGAGTCGTATGCCATCGCGGCATGTTATTGGAAATGCATCCTGTTTGATGGGTGTCGTGTTGCTAAACTCAATATGATCACTACGATATATTGATTGGTTGGGAATGCCTCGATAGTTATGTTCTCTGGGACTTTGGAAGGCATGAAAATTTAATAGATAAAAGTAGAAGCAATTAAAAGGATAAAGATAATGCTTACCTATAGCAGCGCCGAGCGCCTTGGCTCCTTCTTCTTCTATAATGTTTTTACTGAGGTTCAAAGTAAGCAGCGACTCGTTTCTCTACAAAGTTAAGTATATTCGATGTAGAAAAAGTTGATAATTCAGAAAAGCTTATAAGTACTTTTGGTATATCATGTTTCCCTGCGATAAGCATGGTTCAGGTTAATTCTTTTGTGTCAACAAATTGAAATAATTGTTCATCTATCTTTTTTAGTGAGGTTTAAGCTTAATGTCGAAACAACGTCAAAGCACACTTACAAAAGCAAAGATGCATTGATGCATAGCTGAAATTTAAACTCAGACTTCTAATGTTGCTTATTATCAAAGCAGGTATCCAAAAAGAATAAGTTGCAAGGAAATTCTATTACGTTCTTATTTTTAAATCAAAATATAACTTTAATTGGATTTATCAATACCTTCACAACGAGTATTTATTACCGTTGATGTTACCTTGTAAGAGGAAATTAAAACTCGCAGGATCATAAACATTGTCGCTATCAGCAGTAATTAAATATCATTGTTGGTATAAATAAACTTCATATCGATAGCCATGTTTATGCTGTTCCGTTGTAGTGGAGCATATCAATATTTATATTTTTTATTACGTATCACTGAAAACTTGGTATTTTTTCTCTACTGGGGTATCAAGAAAGAAATATGGTATGCTAGTTTATACCTTTGATACATATGACTTGCATTTCATATCATGTGGAAGTACGCCATATTTCTTGTAATGTTCGATAGTGACTTTTTTAAAAAATTATCTTCGGTTTAATTGTTGTTGGGGTTTTTTTTAGGGGGGGAAGAGGGTCAGGTTCTCGATTACGTCAATTCTTCTGTCTGCGCAATATTTTTTTAAAGAATTTATAGTAAAGAATTAACACTGATAGTTTATCTGTTTTGCCATACATACTGCGGCTAGGGTATTTTACATTTACATTTAGGAGGACTACATAAACCGTGAATCGTTGCTTTAGGTTTATATGGATGAGAAATACTCACTGCTAGTCCCTTTGAAAGAGCTATCACAGCGTCATCACCGAGTTTGTTATCTGTTGATAAAGACAATAATTCAGTTTTAGTTTTTCAACAACTCGACTAAACAGCAAGCTGTTTGACCACAATATAAAGCAATTGACATGACAATTAGAATCATGCCCTTATCAAAACAAATTGATGATGCACTCTATAAGTCCTATTCAAATGTTACTAACAAATAAATATAGTTGAACGATTAATTGTGAGCTGGAACGTATTGCAAAGATAATTAATTTTCGCTGATTTATGACTGAAATCTTACCATATCCTGACATTGTTTTGGAAAGTAAATATGCCAGAGATGATGATGATGATGATGATGATGATGATGATGGCAAAGAAGAAAAAAATGAGAAAAAGCAATGTGAATGTGTGGGTATGGATGATGTGTGATGGTGTGAGTGGGTGTATATGAATAATGTATATGTCCTAAAATCTTGGAAATAAAACAATGACAAAAAAAAAACAAATCTTCCAGACAGCGTCACAATCCACTACACTAGTTATTAATTACATGTATTACATATTTACCTGATAGGTTGAGATGGAGCAATGTTTTTGACCTGCCCAATGCGACAGATAGATATCGAGCAGCTTCATAACCAAGATCATTCGTTGACAAATTCTGAAGACACAATCACATATCTTATCCAGACAACCGTCCATGTCTTTTAGAATAGAAGCCAACACTTGATAGTATTTGTCAATTTGGTGTTAATATGTATATATCTAATTTACAAATTACAATGTCTGCATGACGGCAAGCAAATGCTGATATCTAATACAATTAAATACAATAATTTCCATTGCTCAAGGAAATGACTAGCTGTAACAAGATGATAAAGTAACGGGTAACAACAATGCAACAGGCATGCAATCATTTACGCTATTGAGTAGATAATGTTAAGATCAAAGTCAAATTTCTGAAGTACAAATGTTTGGATTAAATATGTTTTTAAAGCGAAATATTTCAAATATTACAAAAAAGACTCATAAAGAGAGCGATAACTTACTATTCGAGTGATAACGAGATTGTCCAGGAGGACATTGGAGAGATACATACAGCCCCTGTCTTTCATATCCATTCCCTCTAATAACAAGGTCTCAACTCGTAAGTTCTCCTATAAATAGTAAAATTGTGTTACTGATTATCCACCTACATGCTAAAGACTTTGCTTACTATCACAATTTCCTTTTGAATGATGCATTCTCTTTCTTTTTCAGTAAGTTTTGATCGGTTACTTTGACGAAGCGGAAATCTTCGGAAAATACTCATGATCTCATACAAACTCGTGTTCAGTATGACTAATACCAGTGAAAATAACTTCTTTTTAACATGGATACATGCGGCTATTTTTATGCGTATACGCATATTTGAAATCATTAAACAGATAATATTTGACTTCAAAATTGAAGAAATTTCGTTTTCATTTTTTTTTTTTTTTTTTTTTTGCCTGGTGTTCTGCGCTTAAAAACATTAGTCCAAATTTTTCTATCATTCCTGTTGTGAATGAAATAACTTAGCATTTTCGAGCAAACTATTGTATGAATTTTGATTAGAACGTTCATCGATGAATTCAAGTTCACGTTATCAAAATCAAACACAATGATTGAACATAAAGTTTATATATAAAAATCGTTTGCCATAAAGAATAAAATTACAAATTTGTAATTGAAAACTCTACGTCATCGAAGACACGCAACAACGTCGGTGTCGAAAAACGATTACAACCATCAGATATATATATAAAGCTTATAACCAAACTACAAGTATTCGTACAAAATTATTATGTTATCTATGAGCCAAGGCTATTCATAATATTAACATATTTTCACAACTGACGCAGCAAAATTAAAGCATTCATAGACAGCGGTTAAAAGTAGATCAGTGTTTATTCTGCAAATCGTTATAAAATATTTCAATCATACCAGCAATGCTGCACAGATGGGTTGCATTCCATCTGGACCAAGGTTTCTGTGGGAGAGGTCGATACAACGACGACCTAGGTCCCTGTGTACTGTCCTCTGTGGAGCCTCTCCACACGCTTCACACACCTTCTGGTATACCGCACGACACACATACTTGTCACTTTCTAAAGAGAGACAACAATAAAACTTCGTTTCCTCGAATGTCTGTTAACAAAAACCATGCCCTGACACATAACTCACGAGATATACGTTAATTCAATTTTTTGTTTCACTTTTTGTTTGTGTGAATGTTTTTACATTCATAACTTCAAATGCCATTTCCGTCGAAACAATCTGTACAATACAATTGCAGTGTAATTGAAATTCGATATTACAGACTGTTTCGGATGTGCTAAACAACGTGTTTTAATGATATCTCTACTTTCTGTTATTGGAGGTAGTGAAATATTAACGTTCCTTCAGATTACTCATATGTAAATTCATCATACTTCTATAAAGTACAAAGTAATAGTTACGGAATGTAATCATGAATATAAAGGAAGAAGAGTTTAAAATTATGGTAAAACAATAGGGGTTTTATATTGATCTAAGTGTCATATATCACAACATTAAAGTAATAGGCTTTTGTTCAAGCCAGTATTTCCGAACCAAATAACTTAGTGTAACAGTAAAATATGCGTTTGAAAGTTTGAAAATTGTACAACAGACACATCTTAGAATCACTATTTTATACAAATTAAGAATAAGATACAGTAGTGTCAAATATATATTGAAAAAGAACCTCAATGCGGACAGTCTGTAAAGATTAACGCAGTTTTTCAAGCTAAGCTATAAAAGTTAATGGAATATTCGTCACTTTGTTGTTTCCTTTATTTAAGATGATAGAATGCGACTAAACTTTAGATATCGTCTTTTATCTTTTCTAAGAATCGTTTGTACTCCTAATATAACTCTGTGACATGATCTCACTTAGGCCTTTTCTCCAAGCGTCCCCCAAAGTCAACAAGCTTACAGTTATTGTTGCATCCAACACTCGTCCTCTGCCGTCCATGAATTTTTATAAACAACATTGATAGTAGTGAACAGATATCTCATTTTGACAACTGAAATATTCCCTCCAAAGCCGGTGTATTGACAGGAAGGAGGCAAAAACCAAAAAATGACGCGAAAAAAACTTCACTCGCACTCCCTTGTGCGATAAACTACGTGAAGCTTTAATCAAGAATGTCATCCCTGATTCAATTAAGTGAGTATCTGGAGAACAAACTAAAGAATGACATATCATAGAGGACCCGGCTAAGTGACTAACCTTTAAGGGAAAATTTAACCATTCTAGTCACTGTGTCAGTATACGCATGAAAAGGTGTAAATTTGACCTTGACCTTTTGACAATGTGACCTTGAACATTGGTCAGTTGACTACTCGTGTGATTCTGACAAACTGCTTCCCGAATCTTTGATGCTCGACCGTAAAAATGGCGTTGTAAATTTTTTTAACCTCAAACTCAATCCCACTCTGTATTACCTCATAAGCTAACATTGTATGAAGTTTAAACCAAAACCTTCATAACTTTCTGCAGTTATCATTTGGAAACCAAAGTTGGATGACAAAGTTCTATTTTTAACAACAATGACCTTCACAGCTAACAGTTTGACCCCAAACTCAATCCCATTCTGTATTACCTTATAATACAGACAGGCAGATAAACAGACATAGACAAATACTATAGTCCTTCCTGCAGAAGACGAAAAAAAGACAATGGCACACCAAAGTTATAAACTTGGTGCACCCTGCTTGTAGCTCAACATTGACTGATATGCATAAGGACAGGCTACAACATTATCAGTATCATGTGACCAGTTTTTTCAGATGCTACTGTGTTTATGTAGAATTGTGCAAAAGAATAGACACACACGTAAATAACACTTTCCCCATACAAATATAGAATTCGATACAGTAGGGTCAAGTAATGAATAAACTGTATTATAGAACATTTTTCCTCCTTTCATAAATCATCAGTGATACTACGGATCTAAATTTTGAAACCTAGGAGCCAATAAATTTGATGATCTCCATATATCTCACATTCTAGTGCAACGACACTATAGAAACGCCTTTTAGAGGCCACATCATCCGTGTTCTCCACATGGCATAAGCTTATGCAACAAAGCTCACAAAACATTTGTTTACCCAATAAAGCTAAAATGTCTATACGAAGATAAACGAACAACGAATGACATACATAAAAATAAGGGTTTTTAACAAAGTTAGCTTAACGTGTGACCATACAGCACATGTCGTACAAAGAATCAGTTCTAAGGCAAAACATTATAGAATTAATGTTATCTCGTACAATGGTAACTATGTACCTATAGTTACGGTTCACTGATAGTCTGTCTGCCCGAGACACGCTGCCACTAGGAATCGAAGCGGAACAAACTGTGATCATAGAGGTATACTACGAATATTGATGTTATTAAAGTAGACATATCTAGTTGTCTGACCTGGTGTCGACACCAATAGTTAATGTTAGCCATCGTCTTTACGTTATCTACTTTAAGTTGGTAGCACGTGATAGATATTTTGATTTTTCAAATGGGAGAATGATCAAGAACCGAGACGAAATATGAAACGAAGTTCAAGCTTAAGGGACATTTTGTGGAATATTATATGTAGACAAGACAAGAAAGTTTTGCAAACAATTGTTAACAGTAAAAAAGCTGTAGTTTAAAAGTGTTGTTTTCAAATTTATTCATTTCTGAGTGTAAAAGTGCCTCCCCGCGAATATTTTCACACTACAAACAGTTATTAATACGAAATTAAAATAAATACGAAAATGAAGTGATTAAGCATTCTGCATACCAAATGTTAAGATTTAAAACCGAAATATCAAAATCATGAACAATACATATAGTACGATCAAACTTTGCCAGCACTGTTACAGATAGTTTTTAATCATTTTAAAACAATGGTTATTTAAACGGTCACAGATCTAGATCTTATGTCACATCTTTACATGCTAAGGTCACATATTGTTCATTCTAGAACTATTTTCTGTTTTAACATTTCCTGTTGAAATACTATCAATATGTCATTGGAAATAACTATGACGTCATATATGGTACTTTTAATTATTTTGTATCACATTTGTTTGAAGACTTACCGTCTGGTCTCAGAGGAATGACTTCCAGATCTGTGTCATATTCATCACTATCCGAGATAGATGGCATCCCAAAACCACTCGTGTTGTCTGTCCTTTGTCGACACAATTCTTCACAGTTAGACTCAATTGTCGCTTCTTTGTTCTTTTCTGTCGTCCCCCTCTCGCTTTCTCCCCTGATTTCGTTCTCTTCATCTCTCCACGTAATTTCCCTTTCGAACTCCCCACGTGACAGAACATTGGTGTAACGACTGAGGTTGTAAGATTTCCCTCCTGCCGATCGTTTCTCTGTGGCAACCGACGAAGTACTGGAACTTTTCCGAATTATTTTTCGATTGCACACGGATGAGTTTCTACCCGATAAATAACCTTCGTCTACTTTATCTGGCGTTTTGGTTAATCGAGTTTCCAACCCATCGATCAAGTCCATCATTGCTAGAATATTACAAATAGAAATTCACTGAAAAAGTGCCACAATTTGCCTTACCGTATATTTTCCCTCAAGACTCGATTCAAAATAGATATTATATAAAGGTGGCCTTTCCCAATAACTTGACGCCGACTATACAGGTATCTATCCAGTTCTTCGCTGCTATTGGTCCCCTCTTCATGGATGTATTTTTACCATTTGACTGCTCAGGATCTCGCTTTCTAGCGATCTTCCACCCTCGGCCGAGTTTGCTACAATGTGACTTGGCAGTTACAATACACAAAGCCCTTGACTACCATCCTAGAACCCATGTTTGACGTTAATAGTCTTTTGAAACTTGGGATGTGAAAAATTAATGAGTTGAAAATAACATTATCGACATTATCTGGTGAGGTGTGACGAAATGCCGTCTAGTGTAACTGATTCATTAGTTATTGATAACGAATGTATTGTACCTAGAACTGAGCGTTGTAGATATATACAGATACAGATAAATACACACATGCTTCTGTCTATCATCACGGATTAAACTATATGGGCCTATTGGCGGAAGCGATTAAAAGTGTCATTAAATATATCAATAAGTTCCTCTGGGAATGGATGATTATTAACATTGCGTTATTGTTACAAGTTTATTTACCATTCAATAAAAATACCAATTACAGACGAATTCATAAAGATTCATATTACAGAACAGTAAAAATATCACTGAAGTAAATTACCGTAATTGTCTCCGTCCATATTTCTATTCCAATTATCACTATATGAAATATTTGTCATATTTACTGAGCTTATGGCATGACTTCGTCTATCTATATAATGTGGAAATCACTCAATATAAATACAAGTACATTGTAAAGTGTAAATGGTGGGGTTGAGCGAAGTCTTCGGTTAAGTAATGTATATTAGTCTGTAGTTTAACAGGACTAAAATTTACGCTTACAATCCCATAATGGCCACCATACCAGATGAACACGAAGAACTCCTTTTCCATGATACTGCATTCCTTTCATAAGAAAATGAAAACATTCAAGAATTTCTAAAATGTTGAATATGTAATACTAGTTTGATAACTGGTTACTGGCGGAAATTAGATATATTGATTTAGGCGAACCATCAAGCGAAAACCTTAAAAATATTATTTCAAAAGAGATCTGTTTCAATATTCTTATAAGATTATGTTACAGCGAGTACTAGATGTCAACAATGCTTGAAAATCTACAAATCTCCCAAAACCTACTTGTAATATTCGTATTTATAGTGTAGTTTGCTTTCCTTAATTATCGATTACAATCTTTGTCAAATTATATTTCATACCCCACGGCACTGGTAATTGTCATATAAAAATAGTTTTGACACGTATTTTATAAACAGCAAAGGTGGCTGATTATCAGCAACATCGACTGTTTACGGAATGAGTGATAACATATACGACTACAGATCTCCTGGAAAAATCTATTCACATATATAAGAGTTATCGTTCTTCTAGTTAAAATATTTACTCGTTCAAAATATAAGACATTGTTTAAACATTGTTAGGTATGACATCTTAGTCAATCAACAACATGATATAGGAAGATTTGATATATATATAGTTATTCTACAAATATATATCTGTCTTTGAAATACCCTATGGGCATTTCAGTGTTGATGGATGTGATATTTAATGCATACCTCAGATGAAATGATTTTTTAACATTTGAAAGCTTGGAGCCTCTATGGTTACTATTTATTAAACATATATGCAATAGAAAAAAAACGTATTTGGTTTTTAATTCTCAAAATGGCAACTGCAGTGGAAATATCAAAAGGTTAAGAAACAAAATATATGTAATCATACCGTTAAATAATTTCAGTGACCATGCACCAAGAAATACCGAGCTATTGTAACCTGTGAGACCAGTTTGACTGGCTAAGCGGGATTTGATTGTAGTATCTTTACAGTTTGGTAACACCTGTAAGTTTATAAAATGAGGAAAGAAAACAACTAGCAATGAAAACTATATAGTCTTAAAATGATTTATTTGAAGACCTTTTTTGAGTCTAATAATGTTCCTGAAATGGAACTTCTCACATGAGAACCCATGACTGGGGAAATTTGATGTAGCCTTCCAGTAGCAGCAGTGTTTTTTGTCATAATGTAATTACGACTGATATAGAATGTTTTAGTTAGATCATCAGGATGGTAGCATGACTGATAGTTTTAGATAATGATTGCTTCGGTCTGATAATGGACATTTATATGTTGTCTGATGGAATAAAAATCAATTAATGTTCAATACATAAAACATGGTACGTTTCTTACATGAGAGAGAATACGTGATTTTACAAACCACAAACTAATAATGATATGTAGCGAAAAAAAACATTGATGATGTAGTAATTAAAAAAATGGCGTTACCTGCCAATTTTTAACATCTGTATCCTAACAGAAGGAGCATTTATATAATATTCATTCATTTCAAAATAAATGCAAAATAATCCGTTGATAAGGGTAAATAATGTATGTTGGTTTTAGTCAGTGAATTATGATAATATGCTTTTCTTTATTTTTATTATTCAATATGCGAGAAAGATTAAGTAAATATCGATATGAATATGTCGTTGTATTGTTTACTGCAGTAAAGATATACAGTAAACCTCGGATAAGTCGAAGTCGATGGGATCAAGTAAAATATTCGATTTATCCGATGGTTCGACTCAACAGTGTTTTTGTCTATCGTTTGTAATCGAGACATCGTATATTTAAACTGACCATATTTTCGCCGATCGTGTCTGATAGCAAGGTGTTAATGAAACTAGACAACATCTATATTTTATGATAACAATTATCTTTCATTAAAATACAAATAAATCGTAGGTTAATGACAGTTACTGTAATCATCATTGTCACAAACACGTGGATTATGCGTACAAGATTGCACAAAAGACACACGTTACACTAGATACTTCGTGCAAACAATACTTAAAAAAATATTTGTACACATATTGTGCTCACATTTATAGCATTTGTATCGTTGAGACAAATATTCTCCATCGAAGTCTAAAAGTAGATCCAGTAATCCCCCCTGATGACTTGGGTCCTTCACTAGATTGCTCATTTGAACTCATGATTGAGAGTGTGGTATGAATGACAAATCCTGAATTTACACTTCCACTCCCATGTTGACATTTTCACTCAAATAAAATAACAACTCACGGGCAAAAAGTAAACATGAGATGTTTTATTTCAATGGCTGTTTGATCGCATAGTTCTTGGTAAAATGAGATATTTACCTGTGCACCGGTATAAACAAAAGATTAGGTGGATGGGTACTCTGACATTACATTGTGCATATAGGTCACCGTTACGGCTGACCGATCACACTCGTTACCGACCAGGAAATTTTACCTGAGACAACGTGGCGTCTGTACATGTTGCAAACCATCACGGCTTTTTTAAAAATCGTCGTTCGATTCAACATATATTTATGTACAATTGGGTTTTGAAATTGTCTATTTCAATATTTAGATAGCGGCGTTCCTTTGGTCTCTAGGACTTGAACCCAGGACCAAACTTAAAAGCAAGGTCGTTCCAACAACAGACCAATTCTGAATACCAGAGTGAATTTGGACTAAATACGGGTATGAAATCACATTGTACTTGACCGTTCTGTCATTAAAATCCACCAGTTTCTATTTCAATTAGACTGGATGAACTGAAAAACTATCAAACTACCATGTTGAGATATTTCAGGCCGACGACACTATAGACGAGTCCATCATCGGCTCCATACATGCAAACACTGTCTCCTTGTGACTCTGGCTGGACCGCGGACGTCAAAGCCTTCGCAAACAAATTTTAAAAAAAAACAATAATTGAGAAAGGTAATACAGAGCAGCATAAATGGTATACCGATTTTTTCAAAGAAGAAGAGGTATACACATGTGTATACCTAAACTAGATATAAGATATATGTAAGATGTAAACTTTTTTAAATCCAAAACAAGCTTAAATTTTTCGGCCCGGAGGGAAATCCACTTGGTAGGGCAGGTGACCCCATGCCTTTTCACTTCCGTTCGAGGAATCGAACCCCTCCCGTCTAGATTAAATAAAACTGCGCTGCCACTGTGCCAGCCATCCACAAAGATTCCTGATTCTACAACCAGAAACCGCTTGTGAGTTGTGAGTGATTTGACAATTTAGAATTGGATTTGAAGGAATTCATATAAAAGGTGGGGTTTCCAAAACCACCCACTCTCCGATTTTTTTAAAAACTTTATATACGTTCCATCCAATATGACTGAAACTTTATTGCCATAGAAGGCTTCTGTAAAAGAGGTGTTGTGTGAAATCGCTTCATCCCTGGTTATACTTCCTATACCAAGATATTTGGCTGCTGGTTTTCTCTCATAGCGCTTAAAACATTTGAAACAAATGACTGCATCATTAATCTTTGATTGGTTGACACCATCTTCTGAAAGGAGTCTACAAAGCCACTCATAGTTAACAACCTTCCGGAAGATCTTTTATGTTTTAGGAATATCCCTTACACGAAATGTGCATCCTGGTCCAACACAAGTCTTGTTTTTGTCATTTAATGGTGCTTCTGCATAAAATGCGTTATATTGAAGGCTTGTGTTATAGGCTTTACTTAAGGTTATGACATTTCAAACTAAAAATGATATATAACATGGTAATTATCAAAATGGGGATATTGCAAGAGTGCCCTTTCTGACCTTTATTTACTCATTTGATAAATACATGAAGGCTCAAGAAGATAAATCAGTAGGTTTTACACAAATGTGTTGCATGTATTACTACCATATAATGAGACAATTCTAGTACAATATATATGTAACACTATAATATTATAATTACAGTTCCTATTCAAGATCACCATGGACAACACATGTACAATGTAAACAGACATTGTCATATGGAGAGCGTATATAAATACATTGTTATGCTGCATTTGTTGATATGCAATGGTCTTCTTTTCTCTACCAATATTTGCAATCAG